GTGGCCATCCGCCACAATTTCTAGCGGAATGGCCTCAACCCCTTACGGGCAAGACAACTTCATTAAAGGAAAGCAAGTCCAATTTACCCCAACAGGCTGCATCATTGCTGCAGTGCATTAGACAGACTAGAAGGTCCGAGAGTGTGTCCATATCTGGCGCTGAATATGCTTCGTGTCCTATTTGGACTGGGTCTTTACACTGTGTCATTCAGTAGGCCTAATCTCGTCACCCATCAGCCAACATGCTCGGGCCCGCCGTGGAAAACGACGTACGACCGGTATTGATGCACAGATTCCCGTGGAAATTTAACGCATCCCTTTTGGCGACCAATCTGGTGCAATCACGGAACACCAAAGACTTGACTTTAACATTTTGCGACCGGCGAGAGAATCCGCGCTGAGGGTCGGACTGCAATGGCTACTTCTGACTGCGGCAATTAGGACATTATCACTTAAGCGGGATCCGGGGTCACTCCTTGAGGCCTAATAGGAATTTTCGACATGACTCCGTCGTGTTGCTCTGCTTTCTCAGTTTCACTATGAACTAATTAACATGCAGGTTCCGGGCGCTCCCGCTTCGTGTGTCAATTGTGAATATTGTCACCTTGGTCTCTTTGAGTCATCAGAAAGTGTTAAGCATGGAAACGGTTAAGTAATTTGAATACCTGGGAAAAAGAACGGCCTAATCATACGCCTATGCGTAAGTCCCCACTTCAACCTCAGAACCGAGATAGATTTTTGTGGAGTTCGAGGTTAACATCAGTGCGGTGTAGTTTCGTCAAAAATAGTCATTAATGCGAGAGCTTAGGATTTCTCGTGTGAATGAAACGTGCAACTCTGGTAGACGTCACTCGCACACACAGACACACACATTCTGGAACGAAACTGGATTTAAGGGGTCACCTCTAGTTGGCTGAATTAACGGGAAGGGGAGATATTGGTGCACCTACCAAGTAAAATTTAAAATCCGCAGAGTCCACAAAGCCTCTTGCCGATGTTTCAATCTGCAGTGCTCCGTAGGTACGTCCATTTGGTGTTACCAGAGGTAGAACCAGAGTAGAGCCTTCAGCGGCCAGTCCCAAAGCCGGCCTTCTTTCTCGCAGAGCCTTTGTGAATAATAGAACACAGAAACAAAAAGTGCAATTTGCAAAAATGGGCCAGCAAAAAACTACTTAACGGGCGTCACGTGGTGTCTAGATGGAGCTTATAGATTCGGAACGTTCTGAAAATAGTAATTGTCAAAAGTTTGTTTTTGTCAAAGGTCTTAAATTA